AGGTTGAAAGGTGATGGCGACTCGTGGTCGAGGAGGGAGTGAGCAGACCTCCCTAAACCAACGACTGATAAGAGGAGGAATCTCCTGTCGGAGCCATAAAATCCATCCACACACATAGCTGCACCACTTGTGCTTCTCTATTCAACAGCCGATTGGGGAATCTTGTCCCAATGGGACCTCCGGTTAGCAGAGCAGTCTGCTCACAGGAACTGAGGTGATCCGAGGTCCAAGGAGGGAGCGTGAAGCTTAATCACACGTCTAGCATGACAGCTACGTGTCATCTGACCAAACCGCTGACAACAGCAGATGTTCCAACAGAGGAACATCAAGGAGGAGAAGTATAGGCACACACATACAACGAAGAAATCCACAGACACGGAGCTAATGTGACACACCATTTCCAGATTAGAGAAGGAACGAGAACTGCTGGGACACCTGATAAACACATATGATAAGAATGTTCAAACAAACAAACGCCAACGATATTACAGTAACAGAACTTGAGGATTTTGAATTCAGGGCGGCTATTCGGTTGCAATGACCAATCATTACCAAGATAAAACTAAGCAGCATTAGACACATTCACGGGGAACATTTGGACAGAAGGAGGAGGGAGAAGTCCACCATTTCATAGAATTATGTCTATTCAGATAACTACAGCATCGTCTCTGTTGAAAGGCATATATCATAGTAAGAATTGAAAATAAGAATTGTTTTTAGGAGGTTAGAAGTTCCTGTATGTGTTGTTTTTATTTTACTCCAAACAGAGCTGAGATCATTATTCAATGCAAGTGAATCCACACGACAACAAGTGGAGAGATGGTGTCCAACCATTGACTCACTGGTTATATTCTCCTCCTCAACATGTGTTGTCAACTTGAAGCATCACTTTCTGTTATTCTTCGGTTATTCTGTTTGATGATGTCATCCCTCCAGAAACAAACAGGGATGGGAGCATCAATTGAAAGACACATCCAGAGCTGCCCCTGGGGGGGGGGGGGGGGGGGGTAAATTATATGTCCTATAGTGTTTTTCCTTTAGTTTCAGATACCTTGTCCCTATATAATGTGTTGATATGTGTTGAACTTTAAGCGACTGAGACCAGATTCACTAAGAGATCCAGGGAGACATCTTCAGGAGGTTTTCCAACAGCAGCCATGTGGGAGAAAGATTGAATAAGTAATTATTTGTGTTACGAACTACACTGATTCCTCAGGGGAAACTCACGGTTTACCTAAGACACTGATGCGGTTAACAGTAGACACAGTTACTGGTAGTTAAGATCACATCACCAGGAATAAACACCACCAGAGAAAGCCTTAAGAAGAAAGACAGATCCACATTAGTCTGAAGGTCACATGAATAAGCGAAAAGGAAGCTAAGAAGGTGTCAAGGAGGGTGCCAGATGATGTTGAATTCCAGAATCAGATCACTGCTGAATTTGTGGACAATAATAAAATGGTGATTGGATGAAACTGCATTTAATGACAGATAGGTGCTACAAATGAAGACCTGCATGAGTCATTGGATGAAATGAGACTCATGGCCTAGAATAATAAAGTGGCTTTAGACATGATGTTAGCTGGAAACGGTAACTTCTGCAAAATGTTTGGATCTGTTTGTTGTGCAACAACACAGCTCCTGGTGGCTTGGTGACCAGAGCACAAGCCCCACTGACAGCTTGAACCAGCAGCTGGCAGACAACTAAGGCGACGACAATCCTCTCACCAACGGGTTTGTCAGTATTATTGCACAACAGAAAAGTGCATGCCCGTCTGCGTTAACCCTTCTTGTGTTACAGTCATGATCTAGTCCACTACGGATGAAGCTGCATCTCCTGCATCCTTGGATTCCTGCAGGAATTGGTCGATATTGCGCTTAGTGAGACTAGTATACAGGGAAATCGGTAGCGAGTAGATGATGAGGGACAATCACTGTTGACGGATGTGACTGTATGATAATTTTCAGTCTTTGAGAGATGCTCACAGTGAACTGTGAGCAAGGAGGGAATTGTTAGGGATTTAAGCGAGAAGTGCACCCCTAGTCAGGAAATTATAGTACGTGTAATAATGTTTAGTGTTAGAATTATAGTTTGTGTGATGTTAGATATTAGGTATTACATTAACATGTTAGATGAAGTGAATGCAATTTCAATCAAACACAATTCATAGTCATTTAAATCATATAAACACTGTACACATTAACATTCTGTCACAATGTGATGTTAAAACCTGGGGACGGATGCCAATTGCCGTCCTTTATGGATTTCTCCCAATTTTATCCCCAAAGGGGTTTTTTTGGGAGTTTTTTCTCCTGTCAGGTAGTAAATGAACAACTTAATGTAAGGCAGCCAACTGGGGCAAATGTCTTGAGAATTGAACCACATGAACTGTCTTAGATCTTATGATGAAGTGTGATGAACGGGGATCATTAATGATGGGTTGTTGTAATTAAAGTATACTAGTTATAAGATGAAGACTTAAACGATGTATGCTTTGTTAAATTCACTCATTGAGGCATAAGGCCAACTGTATCTACATTGAATGCATTGGAATGTGAGGGACAGCTAGTACAGTGAGGTTTCAGGTTACAGCTGCAGCTTCACACCTCGACGTGAAGGGGACAGTCCAGGAGGAGACACTCTGAAGAAGAAGCCAATGACATTCAAATGCACCCAAGAAGACACACCTCAAGAGTTTTCAAAGGACCAAAGCGGGGAAAGGACTGTTAGAATTTTCCTGCAGCCGCTTTGATAAGTCGCTTTAGACTTGCTCAGAGGATTCTCTATTTCGCGAAATATTTTACTGTTCGCTTAGTATTTCACTTTGAAATTGTGTTCCTTGTAACGTTGTTTAGTTATTAAATACTTTTTGATTTTTGAATTTAAGCAAGCTGACTCTTTTGATTCTTCGTTTCCGGCCGGGACGAGAACAAAGGAGTGAGTCCTCCCTCGAGAGCTTTCCGAAACCCTAACAGAATGCAAAAAGCTGAAAGCTGAAATTAATTTTTCAAAATAGCTGAAATTACAGAAAGTTGAAGGGAATTTGAATACATTTGCTTAAATTACAGATATTAGAAAAGCTGAAATTAATTTGAAATTGCTGAAAATACAGAAATGAGAGAAGCTGAAAGGAATTTCAATAGATTTGCTGAAAAAGCAGAAATGAAAACAGCTAAAATGAATGTGAAATATTGCAAAAAAAATACAGAAATGAATATTAAAACACTGCTGTTAATACAGGCATAAGAAAATCTGAAATTATTTGAAAGAACTGCTGAAAATACAGAAATGTGAAGCTAAATTTCAATATAATTTCTAAAAAATACTGAAGTTGCAGGAGCTTAAATGAATTTAAAAATTACAGAAATAACAAAACCTAAGATGAATAAAAAGAGCTTTTAAATTGTTTGTAGCTGTAATACTAATACTATTAGCCATAGTAGTATTTGTAATAACATTAGTAGTAGTTGTAGTATTAATAGCAGTAGAAATACTAGTAGTATGGTAGTAGAAGTATCAGTTGTAGTGCTAGAAGTACTAGTAATATTCGTAGTGGTTGTGGTAGTATTTGAAAGAGCAATACGTATTTCAACGAAACTGCTTAATTCTGAGCTTCATGGTTAAGGTACAGATAATCATTGAGGCTTTTATTTTGTAATGATGGAATTGGGTGAGGAGGGGTTGGGAGACAGAATGTTTGTTATTCAAACTAAGACGTTTTTAATGAATAGGCCTCATCACAAACATTACAGTAAGAATTCCCTCCATGGGGCTTTTATTTTGATATTATTGGATTGGGTGGGGTGGGGGGGTGTAGATAGAGGGAGGGAGGGTGAGAGGGTGAGGAAAGGAGGGGTGGTGAGGAAGAGATAGAGGGAGAGAGAGAGGAGGAGAAATAACCCTTGGGGCAGCATTAATATTTCAGCATGATAATAGACGTGAACTTGGATCGGGCGGCAGCTGCCAGCTAGTCAAATTAACCTTCTGCATCGTGCCACAACCTCCAGTCACATCTCTGCAGCTACCGAGCGATGCTTCCCTGTGCCGCAGCTCCCCGGTGCGTTCAGACACAGTTTTAAAGACCACCAGGGGAAAAGAAAGGCGTCGCAGGGGTGGTTGAGAGAGCCGGTGCGGTCGCTCACCCTTACACCTCTCACGGCGGTCAGGTTGGATTTTCAGTGGCAGAACAGCCCCCCCGCATCCCCGCTATAGCATCCGTAATGGAAACACAGCCAAGGTTTTCAAGGTTGACTTGACGTGAAAATACACTTTGGCGCTTTTGCCTTGTTGATATCAAGAGGTGACGGCAACCTGGTTGCAAAAATGTTACCATCATTACTTCAACTATTGACCATTATTTCCTGTCTTTGTTTCACAGCTTTATGAGGGTGTATTGAGTATTTGTGTCATATTGGCTACATTGAATGAAAGGAATCTCTTGTCCATGTTACTAATTTACAGAGGAATAGAAAATATTGGAATCTCTGTCCTAAAGAGGAGGATTTCTTCAACGCAAAAAAAGTCCAATAGGACTGTAAAAACAGAGTACAGTGTGTGGTTCTCTCGACTAGGAGTACACCAAGTTGAAAACACAACCTCTGACTTGACTGACAGAGTGCTGGCTCATAAAAACCTACAGCAGCTGAGGCCCGACTATGAGATGACTCATATGACGACATCACTTGTTCACTCGAAGTAGAACTGTTGCTGCAGAATGGGGCATGAAATAGTTGGCTCTCATGTTTACTAACCATATAGACATAAGCATTTTGAAAATGTATTAAACATGTATCATTTTTTCTATTTTGAGATACATTGAAAATACCAAATCATATCAATAAAATGTCAGATTGACTGGGGAAACTGAAATACAGAATCGCATTGAAAGGCTGTTCAGTTTTAATTTTTCAAGCTGACTGAAACGTCCGTCAATTACTGCAAACCGGTTAAGTGTGTTTTTATTGCTGCAGCAGTGATGTGTGCGAGAGTTCGCACTCACCTCAGGGTTTGTCCACTTGGACTTGATCTTCTCGGACATCTGTTGCATGCAGGCCAAAAGGTCATAACCTTGCCTGCTCTTAAAATGGGGCAAAAAAAACCGGACAGTAAGCACAACGCTACAACATCAAAAACAGCATATAACTACAAAAAGACTATTTGTTAGTAGTCCATTATTGCACTGTTATTTATTTTTGAAGAGCATCAAATTCTGTTGTCCTAACTCTATACGAAGGGAGACAGGGCGCAACGACAAAAACAAATATTCTCATTTTTGTTTTGACATTTAGAAGACATTTACAAGAAAAGGCATGGAACATCCTTGACAGCTCATCAGTCATTTACAGGATGCGATGCATATAAGGTCTTACATGCTCACAGCAACAGGAAATCATATCACCATTCCAGTTCTTCTGCTCAATGTGTCAGGGGATAGATGTAGGACAGAAACTAAAGCAGGTTTAGAGTAACTAATGAGGCTGTGTGTGTGTATGTGTGTGTCAAGTTTCGTGTGTTTTTTCTGATTAATCACGGCTCTGCCCAAACTTGAAAAGAGCTTTCTCTCCGGTGGACACAAAGGACAACTCGAGAACTGTTTATTTTATGATCCTTTATTCCTCTTAAGGGTGGTTTGGTGGATCAGACAAAGAACAGAGCAGGTTGATAACCTTTCAGACAAAGCAAAACCCATGAATATCGAGTACATTTCGATAATAACTTTCTTAAAGTAATAATAAATAAATGCAACTGAATTCCCAAACCAAACCCAAATTATTCAGATAAACCTAGGATAAGTCCCCATTACTTAATTTAAATGACACATTTCACTAAGTAAAGCAAAGCATGAACAAACAATAAATCATACTGTCCTACCAGTTGCGTCTCTGGGAGATTAGGAGCCGTGGCCACAGTGTCCTTTTCCTCAGGGCCGAGTGAGAGGGCCATCCGAGCTCTCCACAAACATTTTATGCCATGCGCTTCCTGTTCGTACTCAGGCACTTCCTGTGAGTGGAATCTCCATTAGCCGCATCGTCGCCCCCTGCAGTCTGGGTGCGCTCCGACTGTCCGGGGTGGATATGGGCCTTGAGTTCTCTGTGAGGCTTGTGACCGGAGATTGACGCAACACCTCCCACTTGACCTCCTGGTTCCTCAACCCAAGGAGCTCACACCAGTACCTATGTAGTGTCAGATTTAATTACTCCACTTTTGATCCTGTTGCTACTGCTGCTCTTCAACTGGGAGTAGGACAACTATCCGCCGGACATCCCTGTGAAGAATTGTTGCAGGTATCTTGCTCGAGCGTTTTTTTTCCCTTTTTAGTGAGTTTCACAGTTGCGACTGGGTAGCTGGGAAAGGATCGGAGATATACATCCCTCACAATTCCCTTCCTGTCAGTGCTGACGTCAATGACCCTGGCAAGCCTGAACTGACCCCTCAAGGCATTCTGGTCGGCCAGCCAGACGACATCTCCAATTGCCACATTCCTGTGAGCTGTGTGCCACTTAGTCCGGACAAACAAGTTTGGTCCGGCTAACTGGCTCCATTTCCTCCAGAACCTGTCAACTTCTGTTTGGATGGTTCTTAATCTGCTGTAAGAGTAGCCTTCAAAGTCAAAGGTCCCTGGATCCCCTCTGGGTCCAGTTCTTCCAAGCAGAAGTGCATTTGGGCTAATGTATTCAATACAGTCCTCTCGGCTCTGAGTCCTGGCATCGATAGGTCGTTCATTGGCAAGGTTGGAAGCCATGTAGAGGAAAGTTTGAAACTCACCCCATGTGAAGACTCCATTACCTCCCAGATTGTGCAAAGCCCGCTTCACAGTCCGGACAGCAGCCTCAGCAGCTCCGTTTCTGTGAGGTGAGTCTGCTGGATGGATCTTCCAGCTCCACTCTGTGCCATGCTTGGAACAGTCATTTCCAAGCTCTGATTTTTCCACTCGGTCCAGAAACATGTGGAGCTCTTTGAGGGCAGGTTTGGCTCCGACAAAGTTCTTCCCAGGATCCGACCACAATTTCCTTGGGTGTCCTCTCAGTGCCGTAAATCTTTGGTAGGCTAGCAGGAAGCCTTCAGCCGACTGGTCACTGACTAGGTCTGTGTGCATAGCTCTGGACGCCATGCAACAGAAGACGATTCCCCACACCTTGAGTTTCACTTTCTTTCTTACCTCATCCTTCACTTCATATGGTCCAAATAAGTCCACCGTTTTGTACTCAAATGGATTGGCTGGTGTTATTCGCTCCGATGGAAGGTCACTCATGATCTGTTGGCACCTTCGGGCCTTAAGTCTCCTGCATATCACACAGTTATCAACGATCTTCTGAGCTAGTTTCCGGCCTCTCACCACCCATGCTTTCCTTCTCATCCGGAGGAGTGTGCCTGCAATTTCTTCATGGTTTGCCTTGTGGGCTTCTTGAGCCAGAAGAGTGGATACCCATGATGTGCAGGGCAAGACTGGTACTGCAGTTTTTTCTTTATTAAAGATTTGGAATCTTCCTCCACAGAGCAATAGTCCAGTGTTTTCCTCCCTGACCACGGCAAGCCTGCTGAGTGTGGTGTCTGGCAAGACTACCTCCATTTGAGCTGCAAGGAAGAGATCCCTGAGCGCATCCTCACACTCCATGATGGTAAGTGTAGCTTCCTTGACTCTGGACTTGATCTCAAGAGTTGAAAGAATCTCCTTCCTCTTTGGCTTGCTTCTGGTTGGGGTCTTGGCCAGCATTTCTTTCCACTTTGTGGCAGCTCTCCACACCCAGGCAATGACTCTTATCAACCTGGTTAAACAGCTGAACTTACTGATGTTAAGTAATTTCCTCACTGAAGAACCAGAAGGTGGCCTCCGGACTTGGATTTGGATTTGCAAGTCGTCCTTGTTTTGGTTTGACGGTGGGGGCATTGCAGTGGCAGGTGGAGCATGTCGTTTTTTTTCCAACTGCGCTCGGGTCAGTGCTGCTGTAAAACATTTCCTTTGGAGCCGGTTTATACCTTCTTTAGCATCCGCAGCGATGTCTTTGGCTGACTTTGTCGGCCACTCTTCCACAGGTTGTTTCAGAAACTCTGGGCCATTCTGCCACACAGAGTTTTCTTTGAGGTCTTCTGGCGTTGCTCCTCTTGTAACAAGGTCAGCAATGTTTTGTTCACCTGGAATCCATCTCCAATCTCCAACTGATGTGGACTTCTGGATCTCTCCCACTCTGTTCGCAAAAAAGGTTTGGTACCCATAACTGTCCCTTTGGATGGCACCCAGCACAGTTTGACTGTCCAGCAGATGGAGCCACCGTTTGACTTGTATCCGACTGTGCTTTTCAATGTATTTTCTCAGTCTTGCCGCAAATACAGCACCACAGACCTCAGCCTTCACTGCTTCTCCCTTTTGGTCAAGTGGTGTGAGCTTGGCTTTGGACTCAATGAGCCGGACCAGAATGCCTTGCTCGGTCTCCCACCTGAAGTATGCAACAGCTCCATAGCTCTGGTCGCTACCATCTGAGAATGTTATTCCCCAGGGTTCTCCAATCCTTTTGACTGGTGTGAGGCTTCTATGGAAGGTAATTTGGTTGAGGCGTGTGTATTCCTCAAACAGGTGGATGGCTTCTTCCCTGAGTCTTTCAGACAGCGGTGTGTCCCATGTGTCTCGTAGAAGATTCTTGCCTCCCGTTTCTTGAAATGCTTTCCTGACCAGAATGGCTCCTTTCTGTTTGGCAGGTGTTGCAAGGCCTATTGGATCATATAAACTAGCTACTTGGCTAAGCAGTTGTCTTCTAGTCAATGGGTTTGGAGTTTTTCTCCTCACCTCTTCCTCGACGAGATTTTGACCGATTCTCATCTTCTTTTTTCTCTTTGAGAAGTTTATCGAGGTCGTGAGGTATAGTTTGTCTGGTTCGACCAGGTAACCAACTCCCAGGGCTTTGTTCCCTTCCCTCATTTGGTTGGGGAGAATGAAGACTTCCTCGAACGATGCTGGACGTTCTGATGTGGACGTCTGCCTCCCACTTTGGCCTGATCGGACCCATGGCTTTAGGAAGAATCCACCTGCCTTCAGAATTTCTTCGACTTTTTTGGTAGTTCTGTCTAGCTTTTCCAGGTCATTGTGGGATGTCAGAATGTCGTCTACATAGGAATCCTCCTCAAGGACTCTCCGTTCCTCTTCCAGATGAGTGAACATGGGCAGCCTTGCTGTCTCTCTCATGGCCAGTTGTGCGATGCACCCTGCCGGTCGATCGCCCATGTTGACCCTGGTGATGGCAAATTCCTCAATTTCTTCATCTTCGCTGTTTCTCCAGAGAAATCTATGGAGGTGCATCTCCAGGTTTTCGAGCCACACAGAATTGTACATCTTTTTGATGTCGCCGAGGGCAGCATGGACTCCTCTCCTGAACCTTAGTAGCACTGCTCGAATGGGATTAAGCCCATCAGGCCCTTTCAGGAGAAGGTCATTCATGCTGATTCCTCTAAACTTTTGGCTGCTGTTCCATACCAGTCGGACAGGTGTCGTTACAGAGTTCGGGTTTGGCGCCACCAAGTGACTGACGTACCAGACTGGTCCTTTCCAGTCAGCAATGGTCTCTCTAGTGAGTTTCTTCGCTGCCCTCCTTTCCACCATCTCATGGACTTGAGTTGAGTATGCTGTACGCCACTCTGGTTCTTTCTTGAGCCGTTTCTCCGTCCTCAGAAACGTGGCTTCCACTGCGCTTCTGTTGTTGGGCAGGGAACTTGGATCTTCAATCCACGGGTATTTTGCATCCCAGTGAGGCTCTCGACTATGCGCATCTGACTTCACATAGCTGAGGCCCTGCCTGATCATCTCAAGCTCTCTTTCTTCACTCAGAGTCATGTCTTTGCCTCCTGGCTGACAGTTACCACACCGGCATCCTCCACACATGGGTTCGCAAGCCGCACCAATGCTGTCCCACTTCCACCAGTCCAAGAATTCCCTGCCAATAACAGTGGCTTTGGTTTGAGCTCTGGATTCTTGCATCTTGGCAATTTCCTGGTACTTCACTGCTGTGACCCTCATTGACCGTGCAAAGTGAGTCTCAGAATTGTGCAGGGCCATACCCACTACTTCACAGAGGTCTGGATGTGCTCCGCCAACAGTTTTTCCTAAGGGGCCTTCCCACAGGACGAGATCTCCTACTACTTTTATTCTCTGTGGAGCAAGTCTTCCTTCACGGTGGCTTATGAGAAGCTCAACATGTTCCGGTCTGTGAAGATCTTCCAGGTTGGTCTCCGGGAAGAACTTCTTGAGTTGCTGTGCTTTGATTACTCTGTGAACATTTGCAATTTCATCCAACCCATAACAGATCAACTCATGAGCTCTATCCGTGCCTCTGGGTGTCTTGACTCTTACCTTGAGTAAGTATCTTTTGGTCTCCACCTTCATGGCCATGCCTCCAACTCCATGGACGACAAGCGTGATATTTTCACTTTGGAGCTTCAGTCTCTTGGCGGCAACATGAGTGATGTAGTTGGTATCTGATGCCAAGTCAATGAGAGTTCCAATTTTCTGTCCTGCGTTGGTAGTTACTTCGAGAAGCATAAGAATAACTGGTAACTCACATGTCCTTGAGTCCATCACTACAGGGAGGCTTCTTCCAGTGCATTGTGATTTTGCAGCCATGTTGGAGAAGGCTCTCCTGACTTTTCCTGCCATGTCTGGGGTCAGCTCGGATATCAATTTCTCTTGTTCCTCCGTGAATGTTTGCCTCCTGGTGCTGGGTTTTCCCACTTTCGCTGAATCTTTCCCCTTAAATCCTCCTTTCAGGCAGAGAAAGAAATGGTGATCTGAAGAGCTTCCTCTTCTGCAGTCTCTGTTCCTGCACAGGTAAGTGTCGGTGCATTCACCATCATCTGCGTGACATCGGAGGCATCTTCTGCATGCTCCCAGCCTTTCAATAACATTCAGCTTTTCATTAGGTTCCAGTTCTTTAAACTGCTTACAAAAGAAGATCTTGTCACGATGCTTCTCCTCTCCACAGACAACACATCCTCCTTTCCTTGTTGACTTTGTGAAGGCATACCTCTTCTCCAGGTACGTAACTTTCTTTTCAGGTTTTTCACCTACGGCCAATTGGTCTAGCCTCTCTAGAATCTCCTCTTGTGTCTTTAAGAATGTTAGAAGGCTGTCGAAGTGATTATCATGGGTGACTCCATTTCTTGGATTGACCATGAACGCCAGCCAGTCCCTCTTTATATTATCCGGGAGCTTGCTCTCTATGGATCTGATCACAAGGGGATTCTTTATGGCTCCTGTGCTTTGGAGCTCCGTGAGGTCATTCAGGGCCTTTTCCACAGCCTGAATTAGGTCAATTACCTTCCTTGGCTGGTGTGACTTTAAGGGAGGGATCCTCTCTAGGTCCTCAATTACCTCCAAAGCAATCGTTTGCTTGTTTCCATACCTGTTTTGAAGTACTCTAAAAATGTCTTCAGCACTGTTGTATGTTGACAAACCCAGGTCTTTACATATCCTCTCCTCCACACTGTCAAGGAGTTGGAACTTCTTCACTTCCACCGATCCAGTCGGCTCTCCCTGCTTTTGCAGACTTTCCCAGTCTCTCTGCCATCTATGGAAATTTCTCCTAATCCCAGTGAATTTGGGTAGACATGTTGGCTTTATTCTCACCACAGGCTGTGGGACTGCTGTTGGTTGAAGCGGTTGGTCCGGACCTCTTCTTTCGTCTTCTGCAATTCTTTGTGCGGTGAGGAATTCTGCTCTCCTGGCCTCAAGGTTGCTCCCAAATATTCTCAGGTCTTTCAACCTGCCCTTCAGGTCTGCTGCCTGAACATGTGGGATCCATTTTTCCCAGTCTTTCAGGCTTATAGTTGTATTATGGATCAGCCTCCTCGCTCTCTCCAGCTGTAGTTCATAGCCGTCCCGATTGATAGCAGTGATGGGGCTTGCTTGGGCTCTGTCACAGGCTTTTTCCGCTTCTTGGATTGCAAAGTCTACCTCCTCTTTACCATATCTTAGCCAGAGGTTGGATTGGACTGCCTCACGGATGTTCCCCAGTCTCATGTCGCACTCTTCCATTGTCCTTTCAAGCTCAGCCTGCTGGTGCTCGTTGAGCTTTACTTCTTCGTCCTCTTCAGTTCCTACTTCAGCCAGTAGTCTAGCCCTGTAGTCTTCATTAGCATCGCTGACATGCCTTGCCAAGGAACTGAGCTTGCTGAACTCTTCTAGAAGTTCATGTTTAATCATCCCATCTGAAGCTTTGTTCAGGTAGTTTGCTTGCTTAGTGAAAGCAGATTTAGCTAAGGTTCGCTCTTGCTTCAGTTGCTTGACCGTTTTCCCAAGAGTTTCCTTTGCCATGGTGAAAACGTTTCCAGTCAATTCTTCCTTTGCGTCGACAGCTTGACTTCAGGCCTTTGATCCTTGTTCTTGCTGCCACGCTGGTTATCAACTGTCAAGTTTCGTGTGTTTTTTCTGATTAATCACGGCTCTGCCCAAACTTGAAAAGAGCTTTCTCTCCGGTGGACACAAAGGACAACTCGAGAGAAAGCTCTTTTCTTTTCTTGTGACCGGAGATTGACGCAACAGTGTGTGTGTGTGTGTGTGTGTGTGTGTGTGTGTGTGTGTGTGTGTGTGTGTGTGTGTGACCCCCTTTGTCTCTCATCAATCCATAAAGTAAGAGTAAGGCGCTGTTCTACTTTTGTTTTTCAGATCCCCTGCCAGAGGGCAGAGGACAAACCTTGTGCTCTGTGAATTACCCTCAGCCCACCACGTGGGTCGGTACTAGTGCGGCTCATTCAGTTTGTTTTGGTGTTCACAAGCGAATCCTTTGACAGCTGTTCATATTAATCCCAAACCAAGTCATGGTTTCTGATACTATCGATCCCCCCTCTGTCAATCAGTCCACTGTGCAATAACAAAATGTGTTCATCGTGCCGGCAACATTTGACTCTAAATAGTTCTAGAAAAATCACAAACACTCTGCAAAACCGAGCCGGACATGATTCCATTACTGGGTGTCTGACTCACCTTCTGCCAAACGTAGGCCTCATGCAGGGTGATGATCTCATGCTCGCGGTGCTCACCCTGCACGACGCACACCACACAGATGATCTTCTCGTCAGGTTTACAGTACAGGGAGCCTTCCTGTGCATGCTTCTTGCAGCGCAGCTTCTCCACCGTCACAGTGTCCCTCTTCCCAGCCTCTCCGGCGGCCACGGCCTCCTGCTCTGCTTCTGCACCCTCGGCTCCATCACCCGGCTCAGCCTCCGGGTGCAGGCCGCTCCTGGCTCCCTGTCTTCCACCAGCCCCGTCTCTCTCGTTGCCATTGGGCGGCGGCGTCTCCCGATTCGTGGCAATTTCAGCTGCCCCGTCCGCACAAGCTTCATCCTCTGCTCCGTCTCCAACTCTGGAGACTCTGTCGTTGCCAGGTCCATTAGCTTGTGTCTCCGCATGGTTGTAAGGCTGTACGGGATGATGTGTGCTGCTGGCATGTGCGTCAGCATGCACACGGCAGAAGGCAAAGTTGCAGGTGTGGCAAACTTGTGTGGCCGTTTGGGCCTCATCAGGCTCCCACGCGTCACATGATCCATCCATCTGCGGCAGCTCCTTGTGTTTCAACCCCATAACGTCTTCCTGGGGTTCCCCTTTGTGGTCCATGGTGGCTGATAATAGATACTAGGATAAGAGGAATAAGTCGTATAGGAGACACACACACAGGAGAGGACAGGTTATTAATAGCGGTGACCTTTTCTGAACAGCTCTCATATTTGCACAGGGGAAAGTCCAAGAACCTCTGCACTAATCCCTCTGATATAATACTCCCAACTGATAATCAAAAGTTCTTTTCATGGGCTTAGTTGGGGGTTTGCTGTCTTGTCTTGATTTAAGAGTTAGGTAAAGGGGGAAGCAGGATCTGCCAAGCAGGCAGACACAAGTCTGACAAGATGGGGAGTCAGTTTATGTCCTGGCTGAGGAATGCAAGGTCTGCGGGTCAACTAGAAGATTTACCAGCCAAAGGGGGGGTTAGAGACACACCAACACTATTCAACATACACACTCTGTTCGCTGATGTTTACGTTAAGTCAGGAGTCTGGACATTGGATGTGACCGGGTCTTTAGATGCGGGAGGTGGAAGGTCCTCCTCTACGCCAGTTTAGGGCCAATAGAAATCTTTCCTTCTCTGTCTTTCAAGGGTTATAAAACATGATGTTCTTGCTGATGTTAGTGAGTTGTTCCTCCGGCCTGTGTGCTGCCTGAACTGCTCCTGCCTTTGCAAACGCAGCGCTGATACTTGACCTGTGATCTGACAAATAAATTTCCCAGAACGAGAGAAGTCGTTCGGCTGAAATTTTGATAACCCCGACCAGGTTCCAAATCTTGAACACGTAATCTTACACAACAGATGTTGTCCCACAAGCTACACCATTAGAAATCCATCATTTTGCAAGGACCCTATCTGCAGTCACGGTTACCGTCTCTGCGTGCAAACGCAGACTCACTTTTGTTTACTGACAGGCAAACAGAAAGTGCTGAGTACAGCTGGATCCTCAGCAGGATCCCAAACAACAACGCTGGGTTTTTTTTAATCTCACCTCCCTCTGCAAGTCATCAGGCTGTGACCTTTACATGTTTTTTTTCTGTTTTTTTTCTTCCCTGTCCTTAAACCCTCTCACCCTTCTTTCACCTCACCCCGCAGGAGTGAACCTGAAGGAAGTTAAGAGAGACAATCGTGTACATTGTACACAAAGAAACACACACAAAGAAGAGACATCTCATTTTCCTGTTTCTCCTTGGAGCCATCTTCTCCTGAGCTTTGTGTACTTTAACTCCTCAATGCTGACACAAACAACCGGTAGTAAAAGTGCTGTAATGCAGCACACACACACACACACACACACACACACACACACACACACCTTGTAGAGCTTGCAGTGGACGTACCTGTCCGTGTCCCGCCCCCTCTGTGTTCTTCTATCTAGGGCTAGGGCACGGGAGAGACACACACACACACATCTGGTCCGAGAGAGAGAACCCGTTTGACGGGGAAGGAGCTCACCGGAGGCAGGTGGTGGAAGCCAACGGTTCTCGCGATGATCCGCTGACGTTAGCTGACGTTGTGTCGGGAGCTAGCTGCCCAAAACCGCAGCGACCCTCGAGTCCTGCAAGTTGCTATTGAGTTGATCACGTGCGCACCTGCTCCCACACCATAACGGACATAACGGACACGTGACATTTAGAGCCGCGTGCATTAGCTAATGTCGTTTGAATTTAAGTGACGCAATATTGAACAATTGTAAAGATTATTATTATTTTGAATTTACCTCTCGTATTAGCAAACTTTAATTGATTGGGACATTTGGGGTAAAAAGTCACTATAAAGTATAAAAGATGATTTAATACAGAGAAGCTATTGGCACCCACTGAAGTATTATTGACCAGCTTTATTTTTCGCTACATTTTAAGGATGTCACAATAATAATATCACAACTAGAAAAAGCATTTCCTGCTGAAAATGCGTTGGAATGCAAAAAGCTGAAAGCTGAACTGAATATTTAAAAATAGCTGAAAATACAGAAAGTTGAACGGAATTTGAATACATTTGCTGAAATGACAGATATTAGAAAAGCTGAAATGAATTTGAAATTGCTGAAAATACAGAAATGGGAGAAGCTGAAAGGAATTTCAATAGATTTGCTGAAAAAGCAGAAATGAAAACAGCTGAAATAAATGTGAAATCTTGCAAAAAATAGCTAAAATTAATTTCAAAAACGGCTGAAAATACAGAAATCCGAAAATGTACCAGCAAGCCCAAAAACTGAAATGAATTTAAAAAATGCTCATGATATAGAAATGACAATGTACCAGCAAGCTCAAAGATGAAATTAAGTTCAATTTCTGAAAATATTGAAATTTCCAATGGCTTTGCTAATGGCTCACTTATTCAAGTGTTAATGCCAAAAAGTGAAGACCAGCACAGCAGGAAAACATAATATTTTAATTTCAAAATTGGCAGTGTGGAAGATGAAGTGCAGCATTTAACAAAGCTAAGAGTTGAAATACAACACAAAAGAAGCCGAAAGCTGCACTGTTAAACTGTAGAAGTACTTGAAGAAGTGAAACTGAACTGAAATCTAGCATCAGAATCAGAAATAGCATTCAGGAGTAATATTAGCAGTATTAGTATCAAGGGCTGCAGTAGTAGCAGTCGTAGTAGCGGCATTTGTATATCAATAGTAACTGTAGAAGCAGCAGGTGTAGTCGTAAAAATCAGTAGTAGTCTCAGTGTTGCATTGAGTATAAAGCAGACAGTGACCTCATTACAAACATTTTATTTGTTTACATTTAGAATACAATTTCAAAATAATTAAAACAGTAATTAGTGTTAGCATGTCAAAGACTAACATACAGAACAGCCTAACATATTGCTCATGCAAAAATATAAATCACTCGATTTTATTGAGGAAAAACATTAGCAATTATAAAAATGTCACTAAAGATTCTCTGTACATGTGGAAATGAAAACTGGCAAAGTAAAAATGCTTTTCTCTTTGTATGTTTAATTGTTCAAGTAAGGATGACTTATTATTCTGAAATAAGTTACAGTTAAATTGATTCATCATAATTTAAGTGCTCTCAAGTGAATTAAAAACAGAAAATTGGAAATAAAAAAAAGGAAATGCTTTCTGCAGAAGTCGTTTTTTTCCACAAAGATCCCACAAGATGAACCCATAGTGCCTATAAGAAAAACTTTTTAAATAGATGTATACCACAGACCAGGCAGAATATTATTTTGTCACTACCAGTAGTTTGAGTTGTGTGCTATATTTCAAAAGATGCATTTACATCCCGTCTTTACATCCTTTTTTGACTCATTATCTTCTATCGAAAAATAATGAAATAATATAGATGAGTACAGTGCACAAGTACTGTTGTATTGGTCATAATTATTTTGAGTATTTCGTGAAAGATAAAATCTTAGAGTGAGAAATGTATCAACACAGTTTTGTGAACATTGGTCCCTGTGTTATTTATGAATAAATGTACTATAGTTTCAATAGTTAACAATATGGTTCATTTCCTACAATCAAAGGTTTTTCACATCGTTTCCAGACTTAGGTTAATACTCACTTTAAGACTTCAAGGTCCAGGAGCCCTGGACAGACAAGTCTTGTCAACATTGTCGTTTAGACTATCCCAACGTTAAGCTCAGTTTACTGAGGCTCACAGACACACTGGGTTCTCCTTACTTTGATGGAACATGGGTTAGAGCCACTTGTTTACTCAAGGTTAGGACCCAAGCTTTGTAGGATTTGTTTTCCTATTAAATCTTTTGACAAGGCTCTTTGCACCAAGTCATGTTTTAGCCATCTGAAGATGACACACTTGATGGATTTCACAGTCTTACAATTTAACACTTGGCAGTCTCAGTAGAGTTTAGGTTATCCTAAGGATCGGTGTACACATGTGAAAAACCTTGAATATACCTACCAGCTGAAACCCCATACTAATGACTCATTGTGATACAAATATGTCATTCCTTCAAGGTTAATTTGTTCGTATGCACGAGGCAATCAAACAAACATTTCCATCCTTAATTTTCTCATAAATCTGACTGAAAAGGGACGGATGACAAATAAATAAATAATAAATAAATAAATACAATCAACAAAAAAAAATGCGATGAAACATAAGGAAAACGTATATTGTTAGATCAAATACGGTAGAGATGAAACAAACAAAATAGACAGGTGTCCTGTAGTAATACTGTTCATGAGTTAGTAGTGTATGCTTTGAAGACCTGTAACATTATGACCTTTGACCTGTGCAGCGGCTGTAGATCCACTGCTCCAGTCATCACGTCAGGATAGTGTTACTATAGCTACATGGAGGAGGAGAGGCCTTAAAGACAGAAACAGGAGAAAATGTGTTCATGTAGTTAAAAATGTAAACAGCACATGCAAGTAGGAAGACTACCAGGGGATTGTGAGCAAACCGTACTAAGGAGGTAGGTTGTGCAATTTTAATCTACATCCTGTAGGCCATGGGGAAATTAATATAATGTTCTTTTCTATGGTAGAAGGTCAGACCTGAACCAGACCTGGTGAGCCCAGGGTCCTACCTGCTGGTGCACAGGTGCATTGGGCCAAGGAGGTAGGAAGTTGGGCTCACCCGCACGGTACTGGCGAGCAACAAAGCAACCCAGACTTCAGCACATGCCGGACAACGAGAACAAACGTGAGTTGCTCAACTCTCACGGGATCTCCTTTATATGGAGAGAGTCTCCTTGAGTTTAAGCCTCCCGCTCTATGCTGAGGCTCCCAGGTCCTAAGGTCCCACCCTCACATTTACATTGAAGATTACATAATCCCAGACTAATTACAATGTGGTATTGTTTAAAAAAAGTACATGATTCTCAGTAGATTTTCATTTTAGCTGACAATTTTAAGACCTGTTGGAGGAATGTAGACAGAAAACATGATTGTGACAAGTGACATGTTTTTTACTGTACCAGAGTGGAGGCCCTGCTGTGGTGGAAAGATGGAAACGGCTGTATGGCGGATCCCCCTCCTCTGTATAATCATGCATTGTATTAAATCAATGTATATACAAGTACATTGCATTTTTCTTTAAAACTCACCTGATACCTTCATGGACTGTTAGATGACATGACACAGTAAACAGGGTTGTGATAACTGTAATAAGTTCTCAGCACACCAGAGTAGAGACAGCGTTGTGGTTGAGAGATGAAAATGAGGTCCAGCAGTGTGTTCTTGTCAGTGGTTGCATTACTGATGACTTGTGAAAATCCTCTGGACTGGAAGAGCTCAAGGATTGGCTTACCAGTGTTGGAGAAGAGATTCTCGTTGAAATCACCACAGACAATGATGGGCTGACAGTCCATGATCTCCAATGAGTCCAGCAGGCTCCCCAGGTTGGACAGGAATGATCTCACACTGTAGTCTGGAGGTCTGTACACAGCTGCAATCAGGGCTCTCACTGGGGCTTCTACCTTCAGAGCCACAAACTCAAGATCGGTTACATTATGTACGTACTGTTTCTCACGCACCTGAATGTGGCTTTTCACATAAACAGCCGCCACATAAACTCCACCTTCACCTCTGTTGGCTATTTGTGGAACATTTGTGTAGGACAGGTGTCTGTTGCGTTTGAACATGTTGTAGCCCTCTAAATGGAGACTCTCTGCAACAAAGGAGCCTTGAAGGTGAGTTTCTGTAAGACACAAAACATCTGCAAGACACAGTTCATGATGGCTCCTGATGTCATTGATGTGAGATGGTAAACCTTCCGTGTTATGGTGAACAATGGTCAGAGTGTCATGTCTGCTCGAGGTCTCTTTGATACAAAGAAGAGGCATCATGTCGTCCAAGTTGACTTGTCTCATGGTCTCGAGGGCTCCAGTGATTTCTGGGTTGGCATAGATTTTACTCTCATCCAGATCCAGCATGTGCAGTCCACTGAGAGAGGTCATTCTACTGATAGCTACGTAAGCCACGCCAGGTTCAAAAATGTGTTTCAGTGACACTACAGCTGACGTCCTTGTCATACCCTGTACCTTGTGCATCGTACAGGCAAAGGCAGGTCTAACAGGAAACTGTCTGCGTACCACTCCTTTCTGTTTCAGATTGTCCTCTGCTCTCTCTATGTACACCACATCATCAGGGCCGCCTGGTGCTCTATTACAGTAATTCCTTCCAGCAGTTTGATCATCCATCTTGAGCCCGAGCATAGTGACATGTGCAACACCACTCTGTTCTGCGGTTATTACCCTGACTAGTGTAGCAAACGATCCATTCACCAATCCCTGAGACACGTCTATGTTTCTGGTGAGCATGACTCGAGCACCTTCAGTAACGTTTAGTGTGTCTGGTAACTCATTTCTGTTTCCTTTGTATGGTTGGGCTTGTCGAGCCATTCTTCCAGTTCGTGGGTCCTTCTTGTAGTCATCTGCATCGATCTTGGTGATATTAGAATGGAGCAGAGCTAATGTTACTGAGTTGTGTGAATCAACCTGTTTATTAGTTGCAAAGATGTGCAGGACATCAGGTGGACAAAGTGATGGTTCAGTGATGGTCTGTGACAACAAGGCTCTGTCTGCTTGAGACAACTCATCTGACTTTCCTTTCACACGGATCCGGTTCAACATCTCTGCAAAGGCAACATCATCCTTCTGCCGCATAATCTCAGTCAGGGTGATTGTCTGAAAGTGTTCCTGCCATAGGTCAATCTCACATGGCTCGTACACACAGAGGGTCTTGGACTGTCGCACTGGTGGTAGCTGATAATAGTCACCAACAGCTATTACTGACATTCCTCCAAAGGGTTTGGGACTACCTTTGATCTGTTTCGGTCTCGCATCCACATGAGCAAACAGGCGCTTTGACACCATAGACACTTCATCAATGATGAGGATTTCAGCATTTAAAAGTTCTGATCGGACTTCATCCAGTTGGTTACCAAGTCCTTGAAATGGAGGTTTCAGACTTCGTGGAAGCTTGAGCAGAGAGGGCAGTGTTGATCCTGATATATTGAAGGCTGCAGTTCCAGTGAAAGCTGTCAACAGGACCGTGGGGTTTGATATGTCGACCTCCTCAGAATGGCTGGGCAGTTTGCACAGTATCTTAGATGCTTCCGAGTAGATGCATTTAATGAGATGTGACTTTCCTGTTCCAGCACCACCATTGACTTAAAAGAAAAACTGCTCAGGATTTAGGCCACAGACACGCTTTACACACCAGTCTCTGACTGCATAAAACACACATGCTTGTTTCTGGTTCAGGTTCTGATACATTTGCCGTAGTAGTGTGGGGTCAAAGGCCGGAGGCTCTCTGATGGCTATGGCTTCTGTTGCAGCATTAGCTTGATTAGTGTATTCTGGAACATTTTCTTGAACATTTTCATGATCTGGCTCTCATCTTTCATGATACATTCCAACCTTTCCACTTCAGATTCTGGAGCCAGATTGCACCATTCATCAATCACTCCTCTGTTCTGTTCAAATTCTTCCACTGCATTCTCAATGTCCTCGCTGTTTTTCTCATATTTGTCTTTGTTTTGTTTCACAATGTGTCGGACATACTCAGGATGGTCAGAACCTGGTAGTTGGACACAACAACTCTTGTAGAAGGACTCGTACGTGGGGAAATGCCGTCTTATCAGTTCCAGGTCTGATCGGTGAGGAATGTACAGTTTCAGTAATGTGCCATAGAACTTCTCTGGATATTTTTCCTGTGAGCAGCGGTAAAATCTGATGATGGCAGGCTTATCGTTTTTACGCTTTTGCACAAATCCCATATCATTGAGGAGAGGCAACACATCTTTTCCTTTTTTCTGCTGGCCATAGACAACTCTACAAGTAGCTGCGAAATCAGCCAAACACATCTGCTCAAACTCTGTGTTTCTGGTCTGGATTTGTATTTGTCAGTCAAAGATGTCATCCACACATTTACACTTTCTAATGTTGTGTTCTCCAGGTAAGACATGGGGCGACTTATTTTCAGTGCGTTGTCATCTGTCGGTACGAATTGGACACCACGTGAACACTTCTTCATGAGTCACATACTCCTGAGCACTGACCTCTCTCTTTTTAGAGTACGCCTGCATGATTTCCCTCATTTCATCACATTTATTGACGTGGTCTCTGGTGGAGTTTTCAATGACTGTTTTAAGGTACTCAGAAAGTCCAGATTCCTTTTTGGTGATGTAGCTGGTGAGATACATGATGCACGAATATGCATTAAGAATATAACTAACATCAATATTGGCATCCCAGGCTTCCAGTAGATGTGCATTATATCCATTTACCCAGCAGTCTTTTGGCTCACGTTTCAGGATCACCGCACTGGATTTGTTGATGACATTGAGGCATCCTTCATACTCTTGGAGTGTTAAGTTGCATTTAGCGAGGAGCTGCTGCAAACTGAGTGAGGCAGTTTTAGGTTCATTCAGCAACAGGTTCAGTGGTTGGAGCTTGGACTTTGCTATTTGCAGTTGCAGTGGAGCAACACCCTCACCAGGTCTCGGTATCATTGTCTTTCTGGAAGGTGGTTTAGGAAATCCAAATCTGCCACCCGAGCTGGGGCTTCTGAAACATGTCCGTGAGTGTTTTTTGCTGTGTATTTGCACCTCTGTGACCTTCTTGTACAGTTCAGGTTGTGTGAGTTGGTCAGGTAGCTGAGCTGTGATGTATTTAGACACAAAAGCTGACACAGTGTGATCATCATCCTCCTCAAACACAGGTGCACCTTCTACCCATGTGAGACAGTGAATGTGTGGACTTCCTCTGTGCTGAAACTCAACTCTGTAAAAGTAGTCAACAACTTTGCCAAGAGGCTGTGCAGGAGATAAGAGCACATCTCTGAATAAGGCCTCAACACGCTTATCAAACATGCGCATGGTTGTCACAGGATTGCTTCTCAGAATGTCACACTTTGCTGACCAGTCGAGCCCTTCAAAGTTCACCTCCTCACCTTGCTGTCTTTTTATTGCCTCAATCACTTCAGGCCAACGCATCTCAGCTGCAGAAAATGTACAAAAGAATGTGGGAGTTCCCAACTGTCTGATCATGGCAAAAAGGTCTCGTGTGGTTTTCTCCCAGTAGGCTGGTGTTCCTCTCAGCGGCTGCATGAATCTGACTGCATCTTTGTTCCTCACCAGTTTCTCTACCTCTCGTTTGTTTTGCAGCATACCAGACGTTATTTTTCGTCCATCTCGAGTCAGTGGCTTTCCTTTCCTCAACTGTATTGTCATGCTGGATGTGGCCAAGTGTATTTCAGTCACAAACTGAGCAAAGAACAAGTAGTTTGTATCTCTGGCAAAACGATCATCAACACAGAAGAGCCTCGCTTTGAAATAACTGCTGGGTGTTACTTTAATACGTCTCCCTTCATCCAGTGTGTTTTGGCCTGTAGGGAACTGCACAGGGAAAGCCATCGCCTCAAGTTTAGGAGTCTTGAAGAAACCAACTGGACTGTTACTTTCTGCAGGGGCAACAGAGTAGATTCCTTCACTGAAACATAAGATCTCCTCTGAAACATCACACGGCTGAAGACATGATTCTAGAGCAAAACCACCGTTAGGCATGTCACCTTCCTGTTCTTCACCATCTCTTTGCTGCTCTGGTTGTTCACCATCACAAGACAACATGTCAACATCCTGCTCTCCATCAAGCTCAGTTTCTGTCTCACACAGTGCACTTATCTCACACATGTCAATTTCCTTTAAATCAGCATCATCATAGTCGTTGTCATCCATACTGGCATCCTCATCATCATCATCCTCATCTTCATCAGGAAGTGTTGGGTCACAAAGCTCAGCCTCATCTCTGATAGTGATGTCCTGATATTGTGGATGGATGTGTTTGAGTTTATGCAGCGCCTGCACTAGTTTAGACCAGGTGACAGTCTGGAACAGCTGATGTCCTCTGTAACACAATCGTCTCTTCAGCTTTACTCTCATCACTTGAGACTCACTTCTCAGTCTGGGTAACGCTTCCACTGTTTCCTGCACCTCAGACGGGACACAAACCACGTTGCCATGTATCGCTCTCTGGCGTCCTTTGGGAAGAGGAACGATCTTTGCAAACGCTATGCACTTGGCTATGAGATGTCTCTCCAATATGTTGAGGTCACACAGTTCAGGTGGAATGTCAGCGAGCTCCAAGTTGTTGGCTACAGCGAGTGTCGGCATGACTCCATCTTTAAGATGATTGTGGCAGGTGTGACAGACTCTTCCTTTCTCTCATCAGGTACATTACACTGCTGTTCATCTGTGCACTCGTCATCACACACATGGACATACTTTCCTGTCAGGCATGCTGCAACCACGTCTGGATTTCGTACATAGTTTAACCGTTTACAGGGTTTCACTTGGTTTGGAAATGCTGCTTTGTGACAGACGGTGCAAACATAAGTGGGACCGGACTTTATTTGTGACCTGAAAACAGATATGGCCTCTTCGATCAAACTGTTGTCACTTTCTTCTGTTGGTTTATTTATCCCACTGTATTTCCTTTTTATTTTCATGGCACATCTCATGTTCTGCATACTCCGATATGTAGGATTGTTTTTGTATCTGTCTTTCATTCGTTGTTTCATTAGTTGTTTATGTCTGAGCCTGAAGGCCTGGTCATGAGCGTAACGCTGAATAATGTGAGATCTCTTCTTTTGTCTAAAATCAATGCTGTTTTTATAAAAAGCAGTGAAGGACAGTTTTTTTTTCCATTCTAAACTCAGCATTGTCTCGGTAGCGGTTCGTAAAGTGCTGTTTTTTCTTCTCTCTAAAATCAGGATTATTTCTGTAACGAGAGACAAAGATTTGTTTTTTTTTCTGTCTAAAATCAGGATTATTTCTGTAACAAGAGACAAAGATTTGGGTTTTTTTCTGTCTAAAATCAGCGTTTTCTCTGTACCTGTTTGAAATGTACTCTTTCCGTTTTTGTTGAAAGTCAACGTTGTCTCTTGTATTATTGATTTTCTTTTGTCTAAATTCAGGGTTCAGGGCATCATCACTGTGCTGTCCTCTCTTTACTGCATCTGCATAAGATGGTGGTGATGCACATGAAGCATCAGGCTGACCTTCCTGCTCCACACGTTTACACTCTGCAGACATCTTCACCTCTCCACTGCTCTCAGGACCAACACATTCTGCTCCTACAGTCGTTGTTGCAAAGGGATTCTCATTGGGCCGTTGCCAGCGTAGGCTCTGAGCTTGTGACCTCTTACTCTTCCTTGGCATTGTTGATGTTTCAAAACCACAAATGTTGTACAAAACCAAGATATTAAATGCAATAAGTAAAATATTACTTTTAACGAACAAGGATTTGAAGATGGATTAAACCTGCTTGCTGCTATAAATCAAAAACACTTATGAATGAAAAATTAACTCAGTTTGGGCTTACGCTTTTCAAAACATGAATAGATAACACTTTTCAATATAGATAAATATATTATATTTGAACGTCAAATTCAGTGACAGCAACCTGAAGGATTATTTTATAGTTTTAATATAAAAAACACAATGAAATTATCCAGCTGACGTGTTCTAATATATGAGGGTCCAGACAAAGCACTTCTAGTGCAATACTGCAATCAGGTCTTAGTATGTCTGTCTGCGTAAATAACGTACCATGTACTAAAGTGACCGATGGTATTTAGTATGTAAAAGATATTGCTTACTGAGACCTTGACTTATCTGTGGAAATATATAATCAATGTAAAAACTGAAGTCTACCACAAACACACTACTTGGAACCAGTTGACTGAAAGGGCCCTTCAGATTTCAAATGGCTAAATTTACTGGTAGAAATGATCTTAATACTTTATTAGGCTATTGTTTACATTCAGGAGCAGTTGTTGTAGGAGTGTGATGACAGATGGATGCTTCTGAAGAACGTTGGATCAGCAGGAAACAGCCACTCCTGATGAATCCACTTGCTCCTGGTTGACGTCTGTGTTTTATTTCAGTATAAACAACAAAACACTGATATGCACAATGTAAGTTTATAAGAAAAAATTATGTATTCATTAATTAGGTAGAATTGATACAATCATGTAGCGGGATTATTTTTCCTTGTACGTAGACTAATCAAGTTAACAACAGTGTTTGCTCACAAAACAAATCTTTGAGTACAAACCAACAGGTGCACAGCAACAGCGATCAGGAGCAAATACACTTCTCTAATATGGATTTGTAATAGTTATGTATTTTATTATATATCAGAGTGCAGTTGTCTTTAATTATGTTAATTCAATGCACTTTTGCAAATAGTGTATCAGGAAATCTACCTGATTCAATTATAAAGAGTACTTTTTTTTACAAGCCAATTCTTTGGATCAAGGTGTAGTTTTTTCAATTATAACAAAAAGATTTGTACTTTATGTTTTTTTCCGCTTCTGAATTAACTTTTCAATTCTTTGTTCAGGCCAATTTTGTTAATCTCATTAATAGTAAATTTCAAATGTTTTGTCAAATTAGTAAAAACAGTAATAGTATTGTATAAATATAGGAGTTGATAGGACAGAGGTGAGAGTGAGAGAAGAGAATCTCTCAGATCATTCAAAAAGGTAGATCAGGTACCAATAACCCGGGTGAGTGAGTGTTCAGAGGAGAGACAGAGAGCGGGAGAGTGGAGATACTCTCAGAGTTCTGTTCAGACAGGTTGCAATAACCTTAGGTTCAGGTTTCAGGGTTCAGGTTTCAGAATATCAGGGTTTTCAGGCTTCTGTATACAGATAGAGTGGGATAGAAGAGGGATACAAAGATAGAGTTTCCAAAAGCAGACAGAGCGGTAGATTTGACAGGAAAGCTAGAGTTATCAAATTGTAGACAGAGTGGATACAAGGTATAGGATAGACAAAGAGCCAATGGGATAGAGGAGGAGAGATGCTGGATAGCAGGACACCTGCAAGACACAAGAAAAACATCCGTTAGACAATCTTCTACCACCACTGGATCATTGAAGGTGTCATCTAACCGTAACATATATATGCTGGCAGACACTTATTGAGTGTTGATTTAATTAATTATAGACGATTCTCTTGGAAAATGTTGACAGAGGGACATCAAAACCGTAGAAGGCTAAAGCTGTTTGTAGGAGCCATATACATTTGGTATTATTTCATTTAATTTTGCTCTGTGCCACTAGGGGGCTGTATGTGCTTTGTGGCTCAGCTGACTTCGGATCAGCCCAGGTAGCCCATTTAACCTGCAGGAATCTAAGACACAGGTGTTGGTAATTTGGGAAGCAAACAGTTTTCGACTGTGCCAGTGTGCGTGTGTGCCTTTGTGGTGAGCAATGCGGTTTGTTATTTTGGGTACATGTATTATGAGTTAAAGTTTTGCCGTTTTATGATATTTGGAACAAAATAAACATGCAAGATAATTGTAACACCACAAGACTCCGTTTTGCTGTGTTCGAGCGCACCAGGCGCACGTCTAAAACTAATCCACCATATTAGCAACGAGTACTAGACTTTGTTTAGGACTTCGTCAGTACACTGTTGGTTGTACATCAAGAACTGTCAACAATGACTCCTGAGCCGATGTGGGGCTCCCGTGATGCTGTAAGTGCACGCATTGTAAAGCCCTGAGAATATTTTTTTACGCTCTGTGAACCAAGCAGAACCCGTAACACAATACAGTGTTTCCCCTACCATTATAAGAGGGGGGCGCGCCTCCCCCCTGAAATAACTCCACCCTCCCCTGAAAAAGTGTGCCATTTAAAAGTGTATATATATTATTATTTATTTATTTTTCTACGCACAGCAGTCCCACACTGACATTACTATGTTGCGAATATGTCCGTGTGGCGCTCGCAGCAGCGGGGCAGAGAGCACCAGAGTAACAACAGCCCTCAAAGAAGACACAGCTGACACAAAGCTGCTAACATACGTGCCGAAATAAAACCAAGAGGTTGAGCAACACACGCATGCTGCTCACACAGGGTATGTAGCTCGGCCATCAGTGATTCATTACAACTAAATGTTTTAAGAAAGTGCATCCAGTTGTCAATCATATGTGAGAACTTACTGTCAAATATCCAAGGAGTCACCAACACTGGCAGGCTGCAGTTAGACAGGGAAGCGGAGGCAGAAGGAAAGAGAACTCAATGAGGGTTTCGAGACAGGTTATTATGATGAAAAGGCATACTAAACTCTAAACCATCCATCCATTGTCAAACCACTTATCCTGCACACAGGGTCGTGGGGGGCTGGAGTTTACTTACAGCAATATCTGAATTGATGTGTGAACTTGCACTTTAGAGTCACCAGCCGTTATGGTCTGCCGTTCAAGATAGAAAAGGCAAGTCGGCAGGAGGAGGAGGAGGGTGACGGATGAAGAGAGGGAGAGAAAAGGAGACATTTTCAGTTCAGTTTATTTAAAATGTACTTTCAATGTATTTCCTTATTGATCATTTTTGTCTCATTGAAAAATCACAATTTTCACAAAAGTAATATAAAGAATATAAATATTCATTGCAGTGTGGCAGATTTGTGGCAATACTGACTGATGTCAACAAGACAACAAATAATGAACATAGATATTGAATATATTATTTCAATATGTGTTAATGCCTCTCGGGGACTTTAATAATTAAAATGGCTCTATAGTATGGTACATATAATCAGAGCTGGGGCAATTAGTTTGATAGCTGCAATAGCTGTATGAAATTAAAGAAAGAAATGTAAAACTCTCTGATTCCACCTTCTCAAACGTAATATCTTTTAATTGCTTAATTCCTCAATAAAAATAAACAAAGACATTTGAGGACATTATCTTGCAATATAGACTATTAAAAACGTTTCCCATTTCAAGTATTAACTATTCAACTGATAAAGAAACACAAACAAAAAATACATCAACAATTTCAAAAATGATATGTGGCAACCATCCATAAAATACAATGTAAATGTTCTTTTTAATAAATTGAAAAGATCTACGTATGTCATATACGTATGCAGTATAGTTATGTAGTAGTGTTAGCTATTTCTGTAACTTACCAAACACAATGCAGATAAGGAGGATGCTCTGTTGTCTAAGAGAGGAAACAATATGACAAACTGACATTAAGAAGGTTCAAACTTTCAGCCTAAATTATTACATACAGAGAGAAGTAGATTACCGCTGTTCCATATTACCAACATAGTTAATTATGTTTCTCAAAAGACAAACTACTTTAAATGCTATTGACATTGGATTTGTAACTTATCCATAATTCAGACATGAATGGAGGAGTGAAATATTCACGTGGTTACCACATGCTAACTTCTACGTAGGCCTAATGCTAAAAATAGGCCGTGGCAATTTCATCAGTTGGCTGACTAATTTGGCAGCGAGCAAAGTAACGCTAACCAGCTAACTAGTAGCTAATGCCAACAAACTAGTCAACACAAACTGACAAAACCCTTTCAATTTTAACCAATTTGTCAATGAACATACTTTAAGTCAGCATTAGCTCGTGTTATAATACTGTAGATGAAATGCAGCGCTCTGATTGGTTGACCGTGAGTCACGTGGTGCACATCATTGAGTGACGTACAGTTCTTGTTCCATATCACTGCGCACTAAGAGTAACGGTTTGACCGACCGTTAGTATCAGCAATGAGGTACTCGAGGCAGTACTTTATGTACAGCCTATTGTACCTTATTGCTTAATAAACGTTACGAATGAATTTAAATCGCTTCCTTCCTTATAATGAACTATGAAACTAGTAGACGAAATATTTCCCTCATACGGCACACAAATGAACCCGTGACTTAACGTTAAACCACGATAACATAAAGGCTAACGCAGACTGTATTCATATTAACTGAAAAGTTAATTAGCTAACCAAGTTAGTTACCCAACTAACCAGTTCATGCCAGTTCAGCACATAACTTAATACCGTTACATATTTGTCATAATAATGTGCCGCTAGCTTAGCGGCTATGCTATTGTTAGCCACGTTTTGGCGTTGTCATACACAGGGAATATTTCACTCTTTCATTAGTGTACACATACTGCACAGGTTACAAACGGACGACAACGCCGTTTCACAGCTATATAACTGTCATTACACCATCCAAACTATGAGCCCTTAGACCCGCGGCTCAGCGGTACTTACCGGTCAAGACTTCAGAGGAATTTGACGGAGATGCGTTGATGTGACGTTAGATTTGATTGATGCATTCAGGAACATTTGGACATTACGCTCTACAAATTCCCGGTTCGATAGAAACTGTACCAAACAAACCTCAAAGCTTAATTCCTCAGCTGTCATAATGCATTTTATTAAATCTATAGTTGTCCTTTAAGAGCATTCGTATCATCAGCGAGATACTATAGTATAAGCTGATAAATTGACAACAAGAGATGGTCAATACGTGTGGTTAATTCTTCAAATGTGAAACGTTTATTAAGTAATGTTTTCCTAAGGCATAATATGAATTCACTAATGATTTTTAGTACATAATACGATACTAATTCGTGGCACTATTACCTTGCTAAATATAGTTTTGGAAATAGCAACATTAAGCTCCTACGCGGTGTATCAGGCAAACACTTACGTCATCAGCCATTATTTCCGACATCATCGGAGCGCTTTTAAACTCATCACTGTCAAAATCACTGTCAAAAATCCATATAGACAATCCGCGGGCAAAAGTCCATCTCGCGCAAGCAAAAGTCGGTGATTTGCCTCAGTCCTGTGAAAGCTAAGTTTGTTCCTCTCTAAATGAGATAAGAAAATGAAGAATATGAAGAATAACTGACATTAATTGAGTATTTATATTTGTATAACCCTATAAGTATAACCCTTTTTAACAAAAGAAACAATTAAGTGACTAGAGTTGTTTAAAATGTTTAAGCTAGCGGTTAGATTATCTTGGTTAGCAAAAGCGGTTTCCAAATAGTGGTCATCAATTTTTTAATGCAGTTTAGCGTTTTAGGCAAACGTAATGCTCTCTTTAATACAATATATTAACCTTATACGTTTGTGATAACCATATACTAATGAAGCAACACAATATGAAATAAAAGAAACGTTTTAGAAAATAATGTGTACTAACCTACTACATAGCTTTTTCTTAATGCTTTGTGTTTATTTTAATATTTCAGAATGGCATTAAAGACGCTTTTGACAACAAAGCCTCCAACACCCTATTTTCGCCCCCCGCCAATCCACCTATGTGTGGTGTTGGTGGTGGAGCAGCCCAGGGTGGTGGCCTGGGAGTTTGACTCAAATGGTGCGAGACCAGCACAGACAAAAATTAATATTCTGGCCGCACTAACAGATGGAGATTCAGTGGCCAAAGTCACTGTATTCGAGGAGTTTGGCAAAAGATTTAAGGAGGGTGGGAGTTATAATGTAAAGGGGCTGTCCCTGAGAGGGCAGTCCCCCCCCATATCAATTAAATATAACTAAGGACACGCTGTTCTTTAGGAGCGCTCCTATAGCGCTCAGCGCAGCGCTCAAACGTGAAGCAGAGCTTCTAATACACCCCCCCTCTCCACTGACTCCGCTGAGCACCTGCCGGGATGCCAGGGGCCTGATAACCGTGGAGGGCGAGGTGGTCGAGGTAAATTAAGTTTCAGCCTACGGTGGTTTAAAAAGGAAACAGGTTTAATATTAGCTGCAAATTGGTATAAAATGTCAATTAACTGAAACATCCATTTTGTTCAGCTGTCAGCTTTAAAAGAAATCGCGACAGGGAGAGACGTCGTTCCATTGCGCAACGTCACGATGCAGCAGGTAGGCAGTCCACTTCATTCATACATACATATATATAATAAAATGTATTTATTAATTTAGATAGCTGAGTAATTACGCTACATATATCGTATGAAGGCAAATAACTGTCAAAAATCCAAATCCATATCAAACATTTGCGGGCAAAAATCCATGCTCGCGCACACATGAAACATTCGCCAACTTTTGCTGCGCGAGATGGACTTTTGCCCGCGAATGTTTGATATGGATTTATTTTGACAGTGATTTGCCTTCATACGAGTCCTCAGACACATATATATATATATATATATATATATATATATATATATATATATATATATATATATATATATATATAATATATATATAATATATATAATCTATATAGAGAGAGAGAGAGAGAGAAAGAGAGAATTAAAGTAATTAAAATATTATTTCACGTTACCTTCTACAGGGGGAATCACAGATGTCGCTGTGTTTCTGGAGGGAGGCAGCCGTATGGCAGCTGCAGGTGGGGGCCCACATTAAAGTTTCCCATCTTAAAGCTGGGAGGTCTAACTATGGGCTCAGACTCCAGTCCACAAACGTTTCCACCATTGAGGTAGGCCTACTTGTTTTTTTATGAAATTGAAACAAACATTCACTTTTTATACAATCTTTACACTATCTGGCTTCAACAGAAAAGTTTGATTGAGTGATGTTATGTTAAATTTGAAGTGGCGATTTAAAAAAAAAGTTGAATAAATTATAATGCAATGCCTCCGTGCTGGGGTTATTTTATTTGCCTGCTTAAAAACGATAATGATTGCTCTGGATTGCGGCTGACAGCGGGATAATGTCTACTTTTCTCTCAACAGGAGGTACGCTCAGAGGACATCGTGGGGGCACTCGGGGTGATGGAGATTGAGGGAGATCCGGGGAACCTCAACCTTCTCCTAGAAGATGGCCGTACCGTCTTAATTGAGGAGAGATTGTGGGAGCCAATCGAACTTGTCATGATTGAACCCGTGATAAAAGTTCAAATTAAAATGACAAGAAACAAGGTGCAGGCAATTGAAGTGGCGAAAAATTAAAATTTCTACTGTTATAAAATGTATATGTTTATAAGATTGTGTTCATAATGTATTAGTTATGTGTTCATTTTGTTTTGACTTGTTACTTATTTTCAATTGTTTTTTACGCTTGTTTATAATTGTTATTTGTTGCAATAAATATTCAACCGTAGCAATGTTGTCCGTCACTGTTCATTTTGAATGCTGCATGTGACTTATTTTCAGTAGAGGTTTCTTATTCCTTTAGCAATGATGGCTGGTGGAACACTTCCTATAGGGCCATCCAATCAATTTCAGCAAACATTCAAGTATTAGTTAATAAAAACAATTAAGGTATCAAAAGCATTAGTACCTTGCAGTTGGGTATAATTTATTCCAGCACTAAAAAAGCAGTAAATAACACTGACATCTTATTTCTGTCACCCTCACAGGTAATTCAGTACAATATTTATACATTTTATATTATGTGTCCTTCAAACTATGACATTATCAATCGATAGGCCTCATCAAAAACATTACAGTAAGAATTCCCTCCATGGGGGTTATATTTTGAAATGTTGGCATTGGGGAAGGTAGAAGGACACTAGAGAGAGCAAACTGACCAACTGACAAACTGCAGCGTGTGTGCTGGTATCCACGGTAACGGAGCATCTGCTCAAAGGGCAGAGACAGTACAGCGAGTTACACAGAATCCACACCTCAAACAAGTGTCCACTAGCGCAAAACTATAACAGCTATCTAAAAAATAAGGGTGGTGAGGATCAAAGGGTCAGGGTTAGGATTAACAGTACTGAAAGGAGTTTCAATAGATTTGCTGAAAAAGCAGAAATGAAAACAGCTGAAATAAATGTGAAATCTTGCAAAAGAAAATACAGAAATGAATACGAAAACATTGCTGTTAATAGAGGCATAGGAAAGGCAGAAATTATTTTTAAAAACTGCTGAAAAAACAGGAAGTGGGGAAGCTGAATTTCAATAGATTTTCTAAAAAATACAGAAGTTACAGGAGCTTAAATTAATTTAAAAATGTACAGAAATAACAAAAGCTGAGATGAATAAAAAGAGGTTTAAAATAGTTTGTAGTAATATTAGTAGTAGTAGTAGTTATAGTTGTAATTGTGGTATTATTAGTATTAGCAGTAGAAGTTGGTTTAGTATCAATAGCAGTAGAAACAGCTGTAATACTAACACTATTAGCCATAGTAGTATTTCAGGAATCAGGAATCAGGAATCAGGAAACATTTATTAGCCAAAATATGTCAAACATACAAGGAATTTGTCTTGGCGGTTAGTGCGCGACAGTAGACAGACAAGACAGCAGTGCACAAGTAATAAAATAAAGTGGAATGAAATGCTAATGCAATGGGTTAGTAGAATAAGGCTAAGGCTATGGGTTAGTATAAAACAAGGTAATAAAGTTAAAAAAAATTAAATATTAAAAAGTTAAAAAGAAAAATATTAAGCATAAAGTGCACTAACGAACAAGTAACGGACAAGAGACAAAGTGACAAGTGACAAAGTGATGAATTGCAGTTAAAGTGGCATGTGCAGTATGAGGGGGAGTGACCGGTGGAATGTTATAGTCAGGCAGTGGGGGACCGGCTCTGTTGATGAGCCCGACTGCCGACGGGAAGAAACTGTTCGTGTGGCGGGAGGTCGTAGTCCTGATGGACCTCAGCCTCCTGCCAGATGGAAGGGGCACAAACAGTTTATGTCCGGGGTGAGAGGGGTCGGCCGCGATCTTTTTAGCTCGCTTCAGAGACCTGGAAGCGAACAAGTCCTGCAGGGACGGCAGATTGCAGCCGATCACCCTCTCTGCAGAGCGGATGACACGCTGCAGCCTGCCCTTGTCCTTGGCTGTGGCTGCAGCGTACCAGACGGTGATGGAGGAGCAGAGGATGGACTCGATGATGGCCGTGTAGAAGTGGACCATCATCGTCTTTGGCAGGTTGAGTTTCTTCAGCTGCCTCAGGAAGAACAACCTCTGCTGAGCCTTCTTGGTGATGGAGCTGATGTTCAGCTCCCACTTGAGGTCCTGGGTGATGATGGAGCCCAGGAAACGGAAGGAATCCACAATAGTGACGGGGGAGTCACACAGCGTGATGGGGGAGGGTGGGGCTCTGTTCCGCCGGAAATCCACAACCATCTCCACTGTCTTTAGAGCGTTAAGCTCCAGGTTGTTCTGGCTGCACCACGACACCAGATGGTCAGACTCCCACCTGTAGGCGGACTCGTCCCCACCAGAGATTAGTCCAATGAGGGTGGTGTCATCCGCAAACTTCAGGAGCTTGACGGACTGATGACTGGAGGTGCAGCTGTTGGTGTACAGGGAGAAGAGCAGAGGGGAAAGAACGCAGCCTTGGGGGGAACCGGTGCTGATGGTCCGAGAGGCTGAGACATGTTTCCCCAGCTTCACGTGCTGCTTCCTGTCTGACAGGAAGTCTGTGATCCACTTGCTGGTGGAGTCGGGCACGTGCAGCTGGGAGAGTTTGTCCTGCAGCAGAGACGGGATGATAGTGTTGAAAGCAGAGCTGAAGTCCACAAACAGGATCCTGGCGTAGGTTCCTGGGGAGTCCAGACGCTGGAGGATGTAGTGGAGGGCCATGTTGACAGCGTCGTCCACAGACCTGTTGGCTCTGTAGGCGAACTGCAGGGGGTCCAGGAGGGGGTCGGTGAGGGACTTCAGGTGGGTCAGGACTAGCCGTTCAAAAGACTTCATGACTACAGAGGTCAGGGCGACGGGCCTGTAGTCATTGAGTCCTGTGATCCTGGGCTTCTTGGGGACAGGGATGATGGTGGAGGCCTTGAAGCAGGCTGGTACGTGGCATGTCTCCAGGGAGGTGTTGAAGATGTCAGTGAACACCGGAGACAGCCGGTCAGCACAATGCTTCAGGGAGTGAGGGGAAACGGAGTCCGGACCGGCTGCCTTACGGGGATTTAGTCTTCTAAAGAGCCGGTTAACGTCTCTCTCCAGAATAGAGAGGGTCGTTGCTGGTGGGGGAGGGGAAGGTGATATAGATGAAGAGGCGTGAGCACCTGATGGGCTGGGGGAGGGAGGGGAGGGGGACTGCAGCAGGTTGGTGGAGCTGTGGGGGATGGGATCAGGACATTGTCTTTCAAATCTGCAGTAGAACTCATTCAGCTCGTCTGCCAGGCGGAGGTCATTCATGGAGTGGGGGGTTTTTGGCTTGTAGTTGGTGAGGTGTTTGAGGCCTCTCCAAACCGAAGCAGAGTCACTTGCTGAGAACTGTTGTTGGAGTTTCTCAGAGTACAGTCGTTTAGCATTTGTAATAACATTAGTAGTAGTTGTAGTATTAATAGCAGTAGAAATACTAGTAGTATGGTAGTAGAAGTATCAGTTGTAGTACTAGAAGTACGAGTAATATTCGTAGTGGGAGATAGAATGCTTGTTATTCAAACTAAGACGTTTGTAATTAATAGGCCTCATCACAAACATTACAGTAAAAATTCCCTCCATGGGGCTTTTATTTTGAAATTATTGGATTGGGTGGTGTGGGGGGGGGTGTAGATAGAGGGAGGGTGAGAGGGTGAGGAAGGGAGGGGTGGTGAGGAAGAGATAGAGGGAGAGAGAGAGGAGGAGAAATAGACAGACAGACTGACTGAGTGATTAACAGTGAGTAGAGGTCAGGGTGGAGGCGGGAGGGGGGCGAGTGTCTTTATCATGTTGGTCTGTTGACAGAAAACATAGCTGCGTCATGTGACTCCACTAATCAGGTCATAGGAGCAGCTGTGAGTCACAGACAGAGATCTTGCAGCGTGTGAGCGAGTAACCACGGCAACGACGCACCTGTGCTCATTAACGAGCTGCTGCAAAAGGCAGAGACATGACAGCGAGTTACACAGAATCCACACCTCAAACAAATGACATTCAGCGCAAAACTCTAACAGCTATCTAAAAAATACGGCATTTTGACGAGACCCAAGACTCTACCGAACGCATGAATGTGCTTTTTATGTCTGTCCGGTAATAAATACGGCTCCTATGGCCGTTGACAAATGTGTACCTTCTTGATTTTTTGAGAAATATGTCGGCAGATTTGTATTGGAGTCTATGGGGCTTTTGGCAGAGGTTGTGTCACTCTAACACTCCATAAGCAAAAACTAAAGAACTCTGGGATTCCATGAACGCATTAATCCAATCAGCACAACCATGCCCTCATTAATCTGAAGAAATGAAGCCTCTAGAGTGTATACTTTGGCTGCAAGGACAGAAGTTCCATATTTTTTTAACCAGATTCTGGTGCTGCCTCACACTCTAGCCCTCGAGGTCCCCACTCTAGCAGACGCAATACACACTCATGTAAAAGTCAGAAACGGAGCGAAGAACTAGTGAAACATAATCAGTGATTATGAAAAAAGTACAAAAGATATCAACAAGCCGTTTTTTTCATAAAATAGTTGAGACTTGTGTCAACATTTGAAAGTTTAAATGGTGTCTGTAGCTGAAAGATTTGCGAAGCTGAAAAATCTGAAAGTTGAAGAAGTTTAAGGAGGATTTGAAAACAAACTCCATTTGAAAACCATGTTAAAATATGAATGATTATTGATTTATATAAATTCAAGAATAAGAGGTAGAAAGCTGAAAAGTCATAGCCCTCAAGCCAGAAAGGAGCTGAACATTTTAATATTTGAACGGTTTTAATAGCTGAAAGTGTGAAGGAGTTGAAAGGTGGCACGGAAGAAATAGAAGAATAACTAGAAAAAGCATTTCCTGCTGAAAATGCGTTGGAATGCAAAAAGCTGAAAGCTGCACTGAATATTTAAAAATAGCTTAAAATACAGAAAGTTGAAGGGAATTTGAATACATCTGTAATTACAGATATTAGAAAAGCTGAAATTAATTTGAAATTGCTGAAAATACAGAAATGAGAGAAGCTGAAAGGAATTTCAATAGATTTGCTGAAAAAGCAGAAATGAAAACAGCTGAAATAAATGTGAAATATTGCAAAACAGAAGGTGCAGGAGCTTAAATGAATTTAAAAGAGTAC